AACCTTAGCCAAACTTCAAATGAAATTCTTCTCTAAAACATACAAATAATTTTATGGAGATAGATTTAACAATTTAAAACGGATTTACAGAAAAATTTTAATTTTAAAATCAAGAGCACGCTAAACTATTGTTATTGTTCTTATTATAAAAATGGATTATATCAATTTTTGCATAAAAATTTTTCTATTTTTAGGTAGGGAAAAAAGGTCCACATAAAAGAAAGGTCACATATATCACTTATCCTCTTAAACACCTCTTATCCTCTTAATATTTTCAGTCTAATGAAGTTAACTAACCTGTGGTGTTGCTTAAGCAAATTACAACTCATTGTTCTGGCCCCAGGTTACTGTTCCATTAATGTAGTGGTTCTTAAAATGTGGTCCTGCAACTTCTGAATCACCTGGGAACTTGTTAAAAACGCAAATTCTTAGGCTCCTGCCCAGATCTAATCAGTCAGAACCTCTGAGCCAGGAGGCCCAGCAACCTTTATTTTCATAGGTCCTCCAGCTGATTTGGATACATGGTAAGCTTTGGGAACACCACTCTAAGGTATCTACACTGGTCTCCCAATGATGCCAGAGTGCGCGATGTGTATCCCTACTTATAATGTCTTGATCATGGTTTTTCCATTTATAATAAATTATTTTTCTTGCTAATCAAATTCACTACCCTTTAGGACTCAGTCTGTATCCCTTCCTTAGGAACTTTGCTCCAGCCTCTTGGAACTCCAGGATATCTTCGACATATTCTTGAGTCTCTTAGGCAGGTCAACTCACTATGGCAACAAAACACATATAGCTATACACAGCAAATGTCTTGTGACTCCGTAAGAGTGTGTGGAGATTTTAATGTAATGGAAAGAAGGTAAAATCAGGATCAGTTAGATTTGGATTTTTAAGCTGGTTTAGCTCCCAATAATGAATAATTTAGCCATGGCATCTTAAGAGAGAAACTAAAACATAATTTTTTAAAAACATTCCTTTTTTTTTGGAACAGGAACAGCCTTTTTTTTTTTCAGAACTATTCAAGAGGTATTCAGTTTGTAAAAAATGTCTTCCTCCTACTCTTGTCCCCTCCTCTTCTCCAGAGGCAAGCACTGTAGCAGTGTTCTTGTGTTTCCTTTCACAAGACAGTCTTTGCATAGACATATCCTATATATAATTTTGCACCAATAGTATTGTACTTTACACACTTTTTGGCACCCTCAATTTCTGATTTAATATATCTCTGAGATGGTTTCATAATGGTAAATTTATATCTGCCTCATATATAATATTACATTGTGTAGATGTATCTCAATATAACGGATTCTCTGTTGATGTACAAACACTGTGCTATCCCCAATCTTTTGGTAATCCAAACAATCCAACAATGAATAACTCTGTATAATCTCACCTTTGTGAAACTACATAGTATAGATTCCCAAAATGGAAATTACTATTTCAGTTGTTACATGAAATCAAAACTTAAATTTTAGTCTCCATAGAAAAGTAATTCTCAAGGTTTTTAATACTGTTAAAAACTGATGA